TGGATATGAACAGTATCTTTAGCTTATATAAAATTATAATTCTGTTAAAAATTTTTACTTCTTTCTTACACTTGCTGAATGTAATAACGTGGTATATAATCACTTAACATAGTTGAGTTTAGTTTAGTCTTATAGTTGATCATAGATGTATTGCCAGAGTTACATATAAGTGCTTAAAACGTAATTTTGATAACATTATATATGTTCATAAGCCTTTAGTACACGTAAATATATTTACAATATATAAACATCAATTATTTAATAATCATTAATCTTCACTAATTATCGAAATCGTAAGTCATGCGCATTTAAGAATCCATAAGAGATACCACAAAAAAAATATTGAGAATAAATTGAACAAAGCTATAAGTATCTGAATATGTTTACATATGTGAAATCTGTACGTATATAGTAAAGTACAAATATATTGACATTTAGTGCAAAAGTCAAAATTACAAAAAATATTTTCTTTAAATGCTCTTTCAGTTGGTACAAATTACACATGTCAGTAAAAAATATTTCAAACGTTTTAAGAACTCTCCATACAAGAGGAGCTATCAAGTTCGTCCAATATATCAGTATTTATATATATAACAGGCAGATATATTAGCGATGTTTGATTGTTACTGGGTGGCTCTGTATCTCTTAATTCAGAAATAATTAACGATTACGAGATTACATATGTCAAACGATGTACTTTTAGTACTTTTTCTTAAGTGTATATTGGTGTGTGTTAATGTTCGAGTTCACTTGAGTGAACTGGAGACTGAAAAACAGAACTTATTTTTTTTTAGAAAATGATTTTCTGTATTTTGATAGACACTATGAGTAAGTAAACTATCCGCAATATTGTCGAAACACCTTCTGCTGGAAGAGTAAATAGACTAAATCTGTAAATATTTTTAAATGTTAATATTTTCTTACTTTGTTATACTGCGAATTTCAAAGATATGCTAATTTCCGCTTGTTATTTATGCCTTTCATTCTGAAATAGTATTTACTTTCATTGTACCCACTGTTTTTACATGGGTAACTCTAAGCGAAAACATTTTTCGTAAGTCAATTTTGTGACGGTCTTCAGCGAATTCTTTCCATTGTCTTAAAATGAAAAATTATGTTTTAAGAACAGAGTATAGTCACATAACCCATATAGGGAGGATTCGCAGCTTGTATAATTATATCTATTATCTTGATTTGGTCAATAGTCAATATTAGAATATTAAATATGATGCATTATCGTGAAGAAAAGTCCAAAAAAATTTTTGTTTTCAAAAATCTGGGTCACTAGTCAGAAATATTCAATTTCAAACTTTGCAAAAAGCTTAAATTTTCTTGCGAAAGAAATTTCGAATATAGTACTAAACAACGATAAATAAATAAAACGATCACCATTACCTTGGTTTTTGATCAAGGACGGTATAGTATATTTTCTTTGGATCTATTTTCAAAGTGTAGTTTTGTAAAAGGTTGAAATCAACACTTTTGCAGCAGGCTTGAATTGTTTATTTTAAATAATATGTAACAGTTTTAGTTATATCTGTAAGATATGTATATCAATCAAAATAATCGATCAAATAAAATGTTGCGTATATATCGCTTTTCACTCACTAATCATAAGCATTCCATTGGAAATTTACTTTTTGGATGAAAAGCTATTTAAGAACGAAGCTGCAGTCAGACATTTATTGTACTTATTCAGGTTTTAAATTATAAAACAAATGCTTACTATATTTGTTAATATACTTTCAATTTTTAGTTTGGGATCTAACCCTAGCTTCAAGAACAAAATTTTTTGTTTTTACTACTGTTTAGTCTGAAGTTTTTATATAAAAAACGAATCAACATTATGTACAACGGTTATTATAACTAATGGAGGTGACAATCGCTTTGTTTTGATAACAAGACTGTAATAAAGTGCTTAAATAATTAAAATTTGATAGTGTAGTTGATAGATCTCGATAGAATCGAATGCAATGGATGCATCAAAGCATCCCGTACAAGATCTATAATTATTTGCCGCGTCACAAAATATGTTATATGTACATTCATTATTCTCAGCCGATTTTAATTTTTTTGTCTGAATGGCATTAATAACTGGCGGTGGATCCCCAAATTTATCAATTGTCTTTGCGGTAGTAAATCATAATGAACAAATGATGTTAGTATAATTTCACTTAACATGCAGCATAATTTTTTTTTGTCGCTTGCCGAGGTTAATATTTGATACAAACACAATCTTAAGTAATCTATTGTTTAACAGGTGCGTTTTATGGACACACCTACGACAAAGCAATAGACCATTATGCAGAAGTTATTAAATTTTATCTGATGGTTTACTTATATAAGTATATAAACTTACTTATTTTTGATATATTTAATAGAAATGGTACAAATCTTGTGTAAATCTTGTAGGTTACTTTCTGTGTGGTCCATTGCATATTCACTACTTAAAATTTGATTTATTTGAATTTCAATTAGTAGATTAACAAATATTTTTGTTTTTTTTTTAATTGCAGTCACCACAAAGTGAAACATTATTTTTTCTTTAAATAAAGTATTTCAAAACACGTCGATATTTAAGGTGTCTGCATTTCGTTTTATGAGTGAAATAAAAAGTGTAAATTTTTAACAATTAACACCATAAAGTTAATTAATGTAAGCATTTGTTTTAAGATATTAATGGAAAAATTTTAAACAATTCACATTCGATTACTGATATTGTTTATAATTTCCATTGAATTTTATATTTTAAAAATTATATTTAATTATAAAAAATATTTATAAGGTTCGAAATCCATTGAACGATAAATAAAACATTATTTTATTAAAAAATAATAAGATTCATAGGAATAGACGAAGGCGTGCATATGAGCTGTTGGTTCCCTTCCCTTAAAATATTTTTTGTCTTGAACCGGAACGGAAAAAATTCCAGTTCGAAGCTGTGTTAAAAAGTTTGTCTGAAGTAGTACCTTTTAATAAATAGAGTAAATTTTAATGATAAAAAAAATAGATATTTAGCAGAACTTTATTGATTATTCGATTGAATTTGAATTTCTTGCTTTTCTGTTTGATGAGATTTATAAGGTTTCTCTGCTATTCTAAAGCTATCTCTGCTTTAGAATTTTTACTTGGGAAATCTAATATTAATTAATTATTAACCTTTCACTTCAGAGACCATTATTTGGTAGTACTGAATTTCAAGTATTTTCGCTTTACTTGTTTTCGCTCTAGACTTTAAGTGGAAAAATATAAACATGATAAGTTAATTTATATAAATCCAATTCAGATTTATTTGATATTTTTATGTTAATGTTTAATAAATCCGTTTTTCTTAGTTTTATAAAATAATTGGTTATTGCAAAATAAACTAAGAAGTAAAATAATACTGTGAATATATAAATGACACTTCAAGTCAAATAAATTGGATGACAAACTTTGATGTTACCGATTACACTGAGAATGGATGCAAAACATACTACATCTTGAGCGTAGCCAATTAACATTATTTTTATTATATTCCACCAAAATAATGACATAATGTTGCGTTTGTATGAACTGAAAAATATCACACTTAAAATAACAACGCGAGGGTTCAAATATCAAAGCAGAAATGATGAGTAAAAAAAATCAAAGATAATACATTTGTTACAGAGTAACAAAGAAAAAATTACCAGTACCGGGTCTCCGATGCGGAAGCGTCAAATTGTCTGTGAAAGAAAATACGAACTACTTGAGATGCCCAAACAAACGTTTCACCTAGTTACGCATTCACTTGCCAATCCACACTTAAAATTATGTTGTCCATCCGTAACTGTTCTAAAACAGCTAAATAACTCAATTCGAAAGATGAAACATATGCACTTATAAAAATGTCCTAAGAAATATAATATTTTTGGGGCGTGCGACGAATCGGTTCCAAAATAGTTAACTATGAATTATTACATCTACTTGAAGGAATAGCCATATAAGAAAGCATCTGACACCAAACAGTTTTCTATTTTTGGATTCTAAAAGAAAATTAAATATGCATATGTTAGTAGTAGTATTATGTATTAGTTTGGTATTGAGAACTTTCATGTTTTATGACAAGAATAACATTATTTTTCTTTTATATTTTAAAATAGGTAAAAATAGTTTTCATTTTTTGAAAGAGAAGTGTTATATAGGCGTAACTTGTATTCTCTTTTACTTGCTAGTATAGCAAATTCATATCCTTTTAAAATCTTACAATTATAATCGTTTCAAAAAAACACTCGTT